ACAATAGTAGTTTTTTTAATTATAATTCTCCCTAAATAAAAAAATAAATAAATTACAGTGAAAGTAATGAAGATTTTGTAGGTTTTGAACCAAACTAAATAATAGTAAACCTTTTTTGATTTACGATATTTTCTTATTTTGATGTTTTGAGCTCTTTTGTGTTTAGAACAATATATACTAATTTTTAAAGTATCAAACTGAATTTTTGTTCAATAAAAATCTTTCAAATGCAACTGTAGCTTTTTTCCCTCAAAAATTTGTCTTCAAAATAAGGGTGCGTCTTATATTCCGAAAAATACGGTAATAACACTCAGTTTTTGACTGTCATGAAAATGCGTGTGCACCTTACTATCTAAATGCACATCCACGCGCACTTCATTTCTTTTGATGTAAACAAAATGCGATGTAAATATACTTTAGAAGACATTTTATACAACAACATATTTTAAGTACATCAAAGTTTTTATAAAGATCTAACGTTAGATCGTAGAATAACATTACAAGTTTATTTACTAATAGTATTAAGAAAGGTAAAGTTTAGCCCTAACTAAACTAAAGCAAAAACATACAAAAGTTAGAGTGTTAATTTATCTGTTTATTGAATATAAGCCGTACTTAATAAAGGCTTAACTAATGTTAGGCTTAAGGCAAGTAGACTTATGTATTTCGGTGTCTGCAATTAGAACTCTTTTGTATTATTCTAAAAATCCTGCATTATTTCAATAAGATACTAATTTGACCGCAAATATTTTGCAGATCTCTGTTAGAAACTGAATAATCACATCATAGTGTGGTTCACATATTATTATATATTCTTCTCTGCTTCCATTGACAAAAATTTTGATGGCAAACAGTTAGTAAACTTTGTCACAAATCCATTTTCCAAAAAAATGAAATAAAATAAAGAACCACAGCAACAGAATAACGTAACATGGTGGAGTTACCTGGTGGAGAAATATAAAGTGTACCCTGTTTTTGAAGGTGTCTGGGGAAGTAGGACCCACATAGCGGTGGGAATACACCACGTACGAAGCAATTTTGTGAAGTATTTAGTACATAATCTGAAATTTTATGTTATATTTAATGGTTTAGCATATTAAGGTTGTGCAGTAAATTTTAATTGGTTCTAATAATTCCTTGCTAATTCTCAGACAGACTCTGGCAACTCTGGGATATCATATAGTTATTTCTCAACACTTGAGTTATTATAAAGTTACATACCACAATTTTGCCAAATTTCTTACAATATTTGATAAACCTAAGGAAAACATTGTTTTTTTATATATTGTTTCAGAAGCTACAAATTTATCAGTGCATCATTTCATCAAAATTATTTAACATGCGGTGTTTATTTTTGGTTCGAATAACAAAACAAAAATTATTTCAAAAATTTATACAGCTTAAGATGTCCTAAACAATTTTAGGATCTAATTACATTCAAAATCTAAAGCACTTAAGCCATCTTTTCACGATCTCGAATAGCAAACGTCTTCTGTTTTCGGAAATACCAGCCTATTCAATATTTGCTAATAAAAATATAAGATCTTCATACATTATTATTTACTACGTATTGGAATCTTAAACGCATTTCGACATTAATTTACCTATTTACTATATCCTGTGTTCACATACACTGAACCCTCTTTCACATGGTTAAGCCCATTCCAGTGGTTAGCGTGTCAGACTGTGTCTGCGGAACTAGCGTTCGCTCCTCTCGTTATGAAGGTGGTGATCAAATCCTACCCTTTCGATCAGAAAACAGTAGCCCAAGAGATGGCGGTGGGCGCTGTTCAGTAACTGCCTTCTCGGGCCTCTAGTTTATCAGTCCAAAATACCTCTCCCCCCCCCCCCCATGGCTCAGCGGTACGTCCCTAGACTTATGGCATTAAAATTTGTATTTCAATACTCGTAGTGGGCACAGCACAAATATCCCACTGTGTAGCTTTGTGCTTAATAAACAAACCAAACCCTTTTACATATAGTGGGAAAACAGGTCACATGTCCAATGGGTTTCCATATACTTTTAGCAGGGCAGTGTCTTGATTTACAATAACTCATTACCAGTTTTTCTTAACTTTTGTATATACGTCTATTTTCTCAATACTTTTAAATCTCTTGCAGAACATAAAGGTTGATTACAAAGAAAAATTCGTTATTCGAAATAGTTATATCTTAAAAACTACTTGTTCTAGTGATCTAAATTCCATAAGAGGGACATTGAGAACCACAAATTTTATTCAAGAAGGTTTGGACATTGTAGAGTGTATATTTCAGAAGCTGTCATTCACAATCAACGTATCAAACTTATCCTTAAATGGGCTACTGGAAGCATAATCTATTATGGTCAGTGTACATTGGTTTTCGCAATATCATGTACATTGACTCAAATTTTATTCAAATCTCCATTCTAGTACCGTTAAAAACAAAGAAAAGAAAAGCAAGTTTATGAGAAAAGCGATTTAGGTATGCAGTATAATATCGATTTGAAACATACCAATATATCCAGGCTTTCCAACATAAAACGTATGATTTCCATTATGGCCATAGTTAAATTTTATTCCCCTAGGATAAGAAATTTTCTTTGTAATCATCTTGTGTTTCATAAATTATAGCTTACATTGTTTTTAATCATCGTATATCGTATATGCTAATTTAAAGATCATTCTGGAACAATAACATGAGTTTTTTGTTTTTCTTTTACAAGTAAAATAGTAGTCCCCAGGACATTGAAATCTGTCTTACTATGCAAAACAAGCATACTTTAATTAAACAGTTGTCTAGGAAATTAAAACGTATTTTAATCACCAACGACGTTTCGAGCAACTGCTCTTTGCCAAGTTTACGGATCTACAACGCTAAACTCCTGGGTTTGATTCCCTGTGTTAAACAGAGCGCTGATAGCTTATTATGTAGCTTTGCGCTAAAAATAAACAAGCAAATCGTAGTTTTAATATGAGAATGTGAAACCTGACAAAGAAGAAGATGCAAATTGTACATTAAATACAAACACGACCGCTATCTCCGGAATATAATTTTTAATACTCATAATTTGCCTTTCGAGTTCGTCAGGAGTTTTTTGTCTTATAAGTTTCCTATGTCTAGTTTAAAGTTTAAGATTCTGACCCTAACTTTATCCTATAGTGTATATCTCACTACAATTCTGCCTAACATATTTCTGTACATTATTTATAATTCACAATACTTGTTTGTTTGTTTACTTTGAATTTCGCGCAAAGCTACACGAGGGCTATCTGCGCTAGTCGTCCCTAATTTAGCAGTGTAAGACTAGAGGGAAGGCAGCTAGTAATCCCCCCCCACCGCCAACGAATAGTGGGAT